GGGCGCCTGCCTCCTCCGCGTGCCGCCTTCCCGGGGCGCACCTGAAAGGGGAAGGGCGAAACGAGCTCCCGCAGCTGCCTGGCCGACTGCCGCGGCTCCACCCTGCCCTGCCCGCCGGTACCGGGAAGGCCCTACGGTGCCCGGAAGCGGGGACGCGGCCGTGGGGCTACGAGGAGCCCATCCTAAGGCGTTCTCGGCCCGGGTGCAACCCTGCGCCCTGCCGACAGAGCCTGGTTAGAGCCCTGCCGTGACCACAGCAAAACACCCAAGCTTTGCTCAGCCTCCTTTATTGATTCCCTAGCAGGCGCCAGGTTCCTCAGACCTTCAAGCTCTCCCATGCCAAGCGTACTTCCCTTTCCACACCCGATTACCCAGATGACCTCCAAGTCCATGTCACAGAAAACATTAAGACCTTATGAACCACACACAGCTTCTCCAGGCCCAACTCAACAGCCTGGTGGGTCCAGTCCTTTCAACATTACACCAAGAGAGACAGTGTTTCTAAGGCCTGGTGGGTGACCTCAAACTAACCCTCCAGTTGTTTCGGTTTCACTCTTCATTGCACACCAGTGCCAATTTCAGCCCTGGGCTGCCTTGAATGTCTGAGTAGCTAGTCCATTGTCCTGGCTCACTACTTAGAATTTACTATCTGCACCCATCTTTTTTTTTTTTTTTTAATCAGTTTCCTCTTTAATACCCTGAAATCATAACTCCCCAAAGTATAATCATTAAATCCACCAATGACCTCTTATCTGTATTCTTCCTCTGAACACTCTCCTCAACATTCTAGTTTTCGATAGTATTCTATACAGTAGGTGAACATTTACTAGAATCTAGTGCCCGAGTTTCTGTTGTACTCTGGACAGCTCTCCAAGAAGATGTACCCTACAGGCAGGTTAGGAGACTGGAAGTTGAATTCATTGGCTGAAGTTTGAATATGTTGCTGTGCTGGACAGAGGCAAAGAGACTAGCGCTCAGGAGACACAATAAAGGATGGGAGAGGAGCACGTGGTCTCCAAATCACCCTCCCACTCAAAAATTCTTCAATGGCTCCCTGGGGACAACAGAATTAACATAAGTCACACTGGCATTCAAGCTATTATTTCCATTTTTATTATTCATGCTATGGCCATACCCCATCTACAACTCATCCCGTACACTCCACATGCTCCTGCCAAACACAGCCACTTGAACTTGCCCCTCATTCCTACCTTCATGCCTTGCATAAGTTATACCCTCCACCTGTAATGCCACTCTTCCAATACTGTCTACATTTTAAAAAAATTTAAGGCTCATCCCAAATGACACATCCTTCATGAGATCTTTCTTGATTCCTCCCACCTGCTCCCCTCCCCAACTGCCCAATTGTTTTTGTTTCTCCACTGAACTCCAAAGTGGTTTGTACCTCTTGTTTAGCATTAAACTTGTGTTTTGTGTCATGTACTTGTCTTCTCTGCTGTATACATGCTCCTGGGAGGTATAACTAGATCTTACTCATCTTTTTAGCTCCAGCAGTGCCTGGCTTATTGCCTTGAATAAAGCATCAAAAGTGGTTGAATTGAGCTATAGTAAAAAGATCCTGAAAGCTAGATTAGATAATTTAACAAGAGTCTGCCATGCATAAATTCTTGGGTGGTATCCAGTGTGCCCATCCCAGGACCTAAGAGAGAGGCAGAACCCCAGAGTTTAAATATATAGATGAGATTAGATATTACTTCAAAGAGTTTGCAATCTAGTAGTGAGACAGCAAGTAACGTGTCTTCCACTAAGGAAAAGTTTACTGAAGAATTGGAAGTTTTTATTTGAAGATTAATGAACTGGGTTATTGAAGTGTTATTAGGTGTTCTTTGGAAAGGGTTCCATGATCAATTAATTGGGGAAACACTGCAAGCTATATTTCTCCTTTGGAGATTCACAATTCATATTAGAATACTGAAGGCTCTGGAAGTCCTGTAGTAAAGTAGGCTATTGGATTTTTCTTTTTTTTCTTTTTTCAAAGATTTTATTTATTCAGTTTTTTCCCCCCAAAGCCCCAGTAGATAGTTGTATGTCATAGGTTCACATCCTTCTAGTTGCTGTACGTGGGACTCGGCCTCGCGTTGGACGGAGAAGTGGTGCCTCGGGGCGCTCCCGGGATCCGAACCCGGGTCGCCAGCATTAGAGCGCGCGCACTTAACCGCTAAGCCACAGAGCCGGCCCAATTGGATTTTTCTTGACACTGTATTTCCCAAACTCATTTGACTATGGAACTCTTTTGTCCTCAGAATTTCTACAGTTTGGGAAATACTGAATCAAAGCGGGGAAAGACAGACCTAAATAAGGGACCAGGAAGGTGACTTTGAGGAGTTAGAGATTACCAAAAGACAGAACAGTAGGTACCTAAAGTAAGCAGCAGAAAATGAGCCCAGGTAGGAAAAAGGCTAAGTGATCGCTTAATTCCTTTATAAAATGACCCAGGCCTCTGTAAAAGTGAAGGAAAAAAGTTACCACCAACAATGTATAGAGATTCGAAAGCCATCCCTTTCGAGAGCCCTCCCTTATGAGAGCTAATTTCTAAGCTGTCCCTAGTTATCTTCAGTTTCTCCAGCCATAAGAAATCCTGGGTCATAAAACATCTCCATAACAGTTGAAAAAGTGCTCTGAAATAAATCCTACTGAGAATTCTCAGAATTTTCTCCCTGATTCCTTTTTGTGATCTTCACTAGAGTTTTCTCTAGATCTCAGAAATTTATCAGCTTGAATTAATACCTATATGATATTTTATAGTAAGGGTTCTTTGCAAGTTGTTTTCCCCTAGATATATGGGCTATTTCCAAATATCTAATCTTCCTGTGAACTTTATATCTATTTCTCCTTAATCCAAAAAGTAAAAGTTAATATCTACAATTTGTGGCTCATATTGAATTTTTTATATATTTACTTTTCCTTCTTCAATCAGAACTTCAAAATTGGTTTCATGTGTAACTACCTACAACACAGAGCAAACTTTACAATTAATGGTGAAACATTAGAAGCACTTCCTTTGAGGTCAAGAATAAGAAAAGGAAGCCTTCTATTACTGCTTCTACTTCATTTTGTTCTGGAGGTCCTAGCATTAAAGAGGGAGGATGGGGAATGAAGATTGAAAAGAAATAAACTGTCATTTACCAATAACAGATGTTTCTAAAATGATTACAGGCAACACAGATGATGTCTACATTGGAACTCTTCAAACTATTGGAACTGTTCAAACTTCAAAGCTATGAGACACAAGACCAATATGCAATATCGATTGCATCAATCAGAAAATATAACTGTGGAAAAGATGACATTCTAGATATCAAAAAAATATTTAGGAATAGACTTAACAAAAGAGAAGCATACTTTATATGGAAAAATTATAAAATCCTATTGAAGGATATAAAAGAAGATAAAAATAAAAGAAGTATACCATGTTTACGGATGAGAAGACGTAAAATAATGAAAATATAATTTCCTTCCCAAACATTAAAATTCCAACCAAAATCCCTATAGGATTCTTCAAAGGACATGACAAGCTTATCTTAAAATTCATATGGGGGCCGGCCCCATGACGTAGCGGTTAAGTGCACGCACTCTGCTACTGGCGGCCCTGGATCAGATCCCGGGCGCACAGCGAGGCACCGCTTCTCCGGCCATGCTGAGGCCGCGACCCACATATAGCAACTAGAAGGATGTGCAACTATGACATACAACTATCTACTGGGGCTTTGGGGGGAAAAAAAAAAGGAGGAGGATTGGCAATAGATGTTAGCTCAGAGCCGGTCTTCCTCAGCCAAAAGAGTAGGATTAGCATGGATGTTAGCTCAGGGCTGATCTTCCTCACAAAAAAAAAAATTAAAAAAAAAAAATTCATATGGAAGATAAAGGGCTAAGAAAAGCCAAGACATTCCTGACAAAGAAGAATGCAGAAGAGGGACTTACCTTCACAGCCATCAAGACTTATAATAAAGCAATGAGAACTAAACTATTGCAGTACTGATGCTGAGGTAGACAAATATAACAAAGGGACAACAGAGAAAACCCAGAAACAGACCCATACATATCAGAGAAGTTAATCTATGACGGAGGTAGAATTACATTCAATAAATGTTTACTGGCATAATTAGTTATTCATGCATGTGAAAAAAAAATGAAGTTATATCTCTACCTTATACCATATACCCAAATCAATTACAGATTGATTAAAGATATAATTGGGAAAAGCTAATTTTAACTCTTTTAAAATTATGTCTTTATAACTCTGGAATTGCAAAGGATTTCTTAAGCAAGATACCAAAAATATAAACCACAAAGAAAAAAGGCTGATAAATTCTATTTATCAACATTAAAAACTTCTGTGCCTCAAAAGGCAACTTAAAAATTTGAATAGACAACGCATAAAATTGGAAAATACATTTGAATACATATAACTGACAAAGTATTACTATATAGAATATATTAAAATGCCTACAAATTATTAAAAGACAAACACCTACTAGAAAATGGTCAAAAGAGCCGGCCCTCTGGCTTAGCGGTTAAGTGCGCGCACTCTGCTGCTGGCGGCCCGGGGTTTGGATCCAGGGCGCACACAGACGCACCGCTTGTCTGGCCATGCTGAGGCCGTGTCCCACATACAGCAACTAGAAGGATGTACAACTATGACATACAACTATCTACTGGGGCTTTGGGGAAAAAAATAAATAAATAAAAATTATAAAAAAAAAAAAGAAAATGGTCAAAAGATATG